CTTTACATAAAACTCTCTCTTATACATGAGTCGCTGTGGATTTGTTTCTCCAAAGTACCCAGACTAATACAGTCACCTTCCAGATCTGGAAACGATCTCACGTGTATGGTTCCATTTCCGGCCACACAAGAGACAGGCCTAAAAGGGGGACCCCAGTCGCACCTTGGGAGACGGGGCCTTCTACTTCCATAAAGAGTTACCGTCTCAGAAACCCACGGGGGCAGTTCTACCCGGGCCTACAGAGCGGCTGGGAGCCGGCATCGCCTCGATGGCACGGAGTTTGGTTTGGATTTTAGAAGCAGAACAATCACACCAGGAAGTGACTAACCCTTTGAGGGCCGCCCATGCCCACAGACAACATGCAGAAGGGTTAGGCAGGAAGGAGGAAGGAAATTAGAACCACAGGGAGGAAGTAGGATGAGGGATGTTTGGCCTTGTGGGGACTCCAATCAATGAGATGAAACAAAATATGCCGAATGGAAAATTGATCTGCTCTGTAAACTTTCGCCAAATCCACAAGAGGTTCTTTTTTCTCAAAAGAGGAGTTTCCATGTCACCCCAAAATACTGTCCCTTAAAGACTTCCAAATACCCGTGTCCTCTGCCTTGACCTCAGTACTCCAGAACTAGGCCCACGCTACATCGAACGGTGACTTGGTGATGGTACAAAGGGGCCTGCATTCCATTCCCCTCGAGAGCAGAGTTTGCAAACTCAAATGTCCTCCCTCAGAGCGCCAGTGCTCTGCTTACCTCATCCAAGTGTGGTGACCATGGGGGTCACTTTCCCAGCACAAACTGAGGGTGACAGGCTGCTAGTAGCCCTGAGATTCATGCACTGAGGATGTAAAACAATCACTCCCTGCTCTCCGCTCACACCACCCTGCCGTCTGCGGAAAACCATGTCCAGAGGCTGCAGGAGGAGCTCCTGGGTGACCTAGGTCAAAGGGGTCAAGTCTCCCCAGAAAGGCCTGGCGATCTACTCCTGGGAAACCCTAGGGAGCATGCTTCTACCGCGACCAGCACAGGTGGCCATGAGCCGTGACCTCCTCAGCGGCAGCTGGTCCTGGTCCTATGACTGGTAGTGGCAGCGCGCACAGAGCTCCCAGGAAGAGGCCCAGAAAGCGCATCAGCCCTTAGACCGCACGCCGGGTCCTAAGAGAAGCTGGGTTTCTGAAGGCAGGTGGATGGAGAAAGCACTGTCAGAGCTCCCTGCTTTCAGTCTCGTCCTCCGGCAGATGGGCGCGGGCAACCCTCCTGCTGCTGGTCGGACGGTGCGCCTCTGTGGAAACGTGCATCGCCGCCAAGGCTGCCCAATGGGAAACGAGACACGGGAGTGTCTGGAAATGACTTCTGACCCCAGAACCACTTGGAAAGCTCTAGAAGCAAAATGGGTGGGCATCATGAAAGGGGGGCTCATCGGGGGACTATTTACTTCCCAGCTTTTCCCTCAGGAACGGTGCAAGAGTCCATGTAAGAAAACGCACAGCGGCGTGTGAGGAGAGAACTTGAACCAGACAGACGTGGACCTGTTTTGACCTTCGGTCTTCTGCTGCTTGGACACCTGTCCCCTGAAGGACCCTGGGGGCAGAGTAGGTGATGTGTTGGACAGCTAGACACAAGGTCAGCAGTTGGAAACCACCAGCCACACTTAGAAAAATGATGAGGCTTTCTGCTCCCAGAGATGGAAACCCACAGGGGCAGTTCTACCCTGGCCGAGGGGCCACTGGTTTGGTTATACGCTTTTCTTGGTAAAAAGCACCCCTCACCCCTCACCCCTCTCTTCCTCCTCTTCCTTTCTCGGGCCGAAGGAATCTGTCTTCTCCATAAAGCTTGGGTCTCTCTCACAGGTATGGTATCAAGCCAAAATGATCTTTGAATATAGGATCCCTTTGGGGCAGGAAATGGAATATTAAAAATGAAGAGAAGATATTTGTAAGTGGCCTAAATTCAGAACCCAAACAAGCTAAAAATGCCACCCCATCTTATAGAACAGGCTGATAAACAGACCCCAAAGATTTCCAAGCACTCATCCCTGGACCTGTGGCCAGCACCTGACATGGCAGGTGGGCCTTTGCAGACAGGAAATGAGAAGGATCTTGTGAATGGGACAATGATCCTGGAATACCCCGGGGGCAGGGGCGGGGGTGGGGTATAGAATCAAATGGTCCTTTCCAGAGACAGGTCCAAGATGATTTGACTGCAGCGAAAGCAGCTGGGAAGACTAACGCAGGAGGTACTGAGAGTCTCTGGTTGGATACAGGTGGGTGGAGCCCTGAGTCTAGAACTGAACTCCTCGCCGTGGCTCACCCCTTTCAGCCAAAGACTAGACAGGCTGAGAAAGGGACACGCACACACACCTGGGAACGAACCACCATCCAGGCCAAGGGGTAGCATTTGCAGGAACCAAGGTCAGAAGAGGGAGGAAGCAACGCAGGGAGGGCGCGAGAATTTGGTGATTGTGGGGACTGTACTCCGGGGGGTGCTGCCAAAGGTGCAGCACGTGGGGAAGGGTCAGCCGATTTGCTCTGCAAATGGCCATCCAAAGCATGACGGTCTTTAAAGAAAAGGCAGTCAGGGCAAAAGTCCTGAGCCAAGCCAGAAAAGGCAAGGGAGCAGGTTTCCCCCCCTGGAGCCTCCGGAAGGAGGCAGCCCTGCCCACAGCTTGAGCCCAGTCTCCCAGTTTCCAGAACGATAAGAAGTCCACCTCTATGAAGCCACGGACATTGTGCTGCCTGTGAACACAGACGGTGGGAAACGGAGAGTGGTTGCTGCGGCCATCTTGGTCCAGAACTGCACTGCAGTGGCTTTCAATGGGTCACTCAACCGGCCTCTCTCCCAAGATGTCCCTGGGTGGATGCGATGCTCTAACCTTGACCGACAGCCAAGCCCCTGTGGGAACCACCTGGGGCTGCCAATGTCAAGAGCGGCACAAGAAAGACACCCTGGTGGGACTCTCAGCGGCTCACTGCTGGGCTGTTGCAGGAGCCACCGTTATTTTCTATAAGGCGGTTTCTCCTCACCCTACAGTGGCAGTGTGGTGGGGGCGGAGGAGGCAACCGGGCTCAGGATGGCTGCTGTGGCCTATCCCAGGTGATTTCATTCCGCCTTGATTCCATCCACTGGGGCAGATGCCACCGTTCCCGGACTCCCCACGATGCCCGGCACGGTCTCCCTCTGACAGCCGAGGAGTGAGGAGGTGAGCCCTTGCCAGGGGAGACTGGTTCCTTACCACTGGTGAAATCCAGCAACGCCAGGCCACTATTGCCTCAGGGGGAGGGGAGGTGGTGGTAGTGGTGTGGTGTGGTGGTGGTGTGGTGTGGTGTGGTGTGGTGTGGTGTGTGTGTGTGTGTGTGTGTGTATGTGTGAATATCTTGTCTAGAACATGGCAACGGATACAGATGTTTGTCCAATCACTTGTATTCCCCCCAAATGCAGCTGGTAGGTCAAGAATGTGAACATTATACGTTTTAGGATCCACGGACATTTACACAAACAGCAAATCTGAAAATAAGGCCCTGGAGCGGTTTCCATCAGAGAATCAGCAGGGGCCCCGGTGGGTCAGCGGTGCCCCGCCCCCCACTTCCTCTCAGAAGAGAAACACATCTTACTGGGTCCCATTAGACTCCATTGTTCAGCAGCAGCTGCCTCCAACGTCACAGACGTGGAAAATTCCTCCCTGATTATTTGCATCATAAGTCACTTTCTTCTCTAGCGAGTTGGTCTTAATTAAGACCCTTAATCTAAAAGGGATGCCAACGTTTCCCAACTTGTGACTTCTGTATTTCCACTAGCTCGGTCATGGGGTGCCCTTCTCCGGCCTCTCCTCTCTCTCCCTGAGGCGCACACCAGCCGGCTTCTCTCCCTCTGCAGTGCGGCAAGGAACGACTCCTCTCCCTACGCATGGCACTTTTGGTGAGGCCACCGCCCACCTCATCCCGCACACTGGCCACAGAAGCTGCCCCCAAACACACTGCTCTAGCCCTTGTCTGCTCACCCTTCAGTCCGCCTGTGACTCCCCCTACACAGTTCAGTAGACGCCCCAGCTTCCTGCTGGGCAGCACCAGAAGGAAGGAGCCCGAGAACATGGGCCTTCAACCACAACTTGAAGTCAATGACCGTGCCAGGAGGATAGCAGATTCCTCTCAGGCCCATTAGCACCGGCTGGTCTCTGCAAGGGACCCCATGAGGCAAGGTGGACCCCAGGTAGCGCCCCCCCCCACGAGGCTGGACTCACAAATAAGACCGTCTTTTCCATCAAACTCGGGCCCTTTCGTAGTGAGTCCATGCGTGTCAGGCTAGAACTGTGCTCCACAAGGCTCCCCGTGGCTGGATTTCCAGAAGCAGATGCATCGGATCCACCAGCTGCTACCAGGTTCACAGCCAAGCAAATGGACGCCTGCGCTCCTAGGAGGCCCCAGACTCTCACGCCCAAAGCATGAGGCAGAAACGCCGATTCATTTGGGGACAAATCTTTGGTTGTTAGGTACCTTCAGGCTGACTTCGGGTCATGGAGACCCCAAGTGATAGGGTCCAGGTGCCCCCTAGGGGTTTCTTGGCTGTGAAACTTTGTCCCAGGAAGCAGCTGGTGCGTTCCAACCACAGACCTTCTGGTTCACAGCGGGTTCTTCATTTGAGCCGCCAGGACTTACTGCTTGATAACCATTTTTCATTGTTAGAGCTGAGGTCATGTATGGGTTTGGGCCCAGCAGGGGCTGCAGAAATATGACAGTGTGCTCTCTGGCTTCCGGGTAGGCCTGGAGCCAGGGCCCAGCCGAGGAGAGGATGGCTGGAATGACGGCCTCCCGGCTCCCTCTTGCTCCCTGGGAGGCCCAGTTCTCTAGGCACAGGACAGGTCATACGTAGATTTATGCAAATGCCCTTTATCGCTGCGTGTTTTCCCTTGCCGTGGTCAACTGATGTCCTGGGCCTGGTGCCTTGTTCACAGAACGGTGCATCTTCCCTCGGTCCCCCACATGCTCTGGCAGTGTCCACACTGCGGGAGCCTGTGGGCCGGCACGCTGCTACCCCCTGGTGGACAGATACCCCGCCAATACTTACTGTTCTGTGTCCCTCTCCCTTCTGGTCCAGGTAGGCTCGGATGGTGGCCAGCCCGGCGTACTCCCCCTGGGCGCCGCTGGAAGACAGCAGGAGAAGGGTCAGGGCGTGGGGGCTTTGCATTGACTGGGCACTGTTGGCCAAGTGTTCACCAGTGGGTGACACTATCACCCCTACTGGGCACTCTGGTCCTCGGTGGGTGCCAGAGGCCTTCAAGGGTCAAGGAGCAGTACCTGGTGTTCCTGAACAGCACCTGGCAAGCTCCCTCTCCCCCTTCCTGCTCAGAGATGGTCTTCCAGGTGCTCACCCAGCACCCCGCGCTCAGAGACCTCTTGTGGTGGTGGAAAGACTTAAGACAGCACCAAACAGCCGAACGATGACGAACGCCCATGTACCCGACTTTCAACAATGATCAACGATCTGATTTCAGCTCCATCTCTCACGAACCCGGCTCATTCTGAACAGGATTGTATGGGAAGCAAGCCCAAAGCCTGGTATTCGTAGTAAAATACGTAACACCTTTCAAAGTTAAGAATTTGCTTAGATTCTGGTAGAACGATTCTGCCATCGAACGGATCCCAATGCCAAGCGAGCCCACAGGACAGTGCGGACTGCCCACTGTGGGTTTCTGAGGCTCTACCTCTTTACCAGGGAACGCAGTCTTGTCTCTTTCCCATGGAGTGCCTTGCTAATTCAAACCGCTGACCTTACAACTGCTCCCTAACCCACTACGCCACCAGAGGGAAAAATATTGGCCAATTCCACCATTCTCATGGGGACAACTGCGTGACCTGAATGGCATTCACTATCTGTACAACCATCACCACCTCCTGTTCCAGATGTTCCTCCCAACACCGAACACCCAGTCCTTCCCCCTCCCCCTCCACCAGCCCTGGTAAACTCTGGCCTCTAGGTATTTGCCTATTTGATATTAAAGTGAGACCATGTCCTTTTCCTTTAGTTTCTGATGTGTTTCCCTCATCTGGTGGTTTGCTCCAGAACTTCATATCTCCACACGACGGAATAACATTCCACTGTCTGGACAAGAAAGCCCCGGTGGCGCAGGCGCCACTGTCATGACAGCTGGTGGCTGACGGACATTCCTGAGGGCCAGACGGAGGCAGTGGCACACGGTGACTTAGTGCCCCCCGTTCTCAGCGCCAGACAGAACTGGAAGTGAGCCCGTTGGTTCCATTCAAGAGGTCTCCCCAAGCATTCCGAATCTGGAAGCATGGAGCGGTCTTGGGGGCTCATCCTTCTGGTTGACCCATACTATTGGATTTCCCCAGAAGCTGAAGGCTAAAAGAACATGCCAGGGTGGGTTCTTTTTCAATTTCCAGAGCAAAAAACTGCGAGCCTTGAAATGCTTGGTTTTGTTGGGGGAAATAGGGAAACACTGGCCAAGATCCTGGGGGGCTGCTGGTTTGTGTCAGGCGGCAGCAGCGCTGGTGACAGGGGACCGTGGCTGACAGAGGGCCAACGAGCAGCGGTGAAGCCTGGGCTGTCAGGTGGGCCTGCGGGGCAGGGTGGACAAAGCGAGAAGAGTGCTGTGGACAGCATGGCCACTGCTGGGCACAAACAGGCTCAAGGAGCTGAGGAAGAAAACTTAGTAGAAACTGCTCCACTAATTCAACACCCATTTCTGCATCCGACGGAGCCCTGGAGCTGCAGCAGTTACGCTCTTGGCTGCTAATCAAGAGGGTGGCGGTTCAAACCCCAGCCACTCGGCAGGAGCAGGGATCTGTGGCCTCAGACGCCCAGAGGGACAACGTCCTACTCCATCCTCCAGGGTCTCCCTGCCGTTGAGTGGGTTTAGTGTGGACGTGCTGGTGGGCACAGCACTGGGGGCCCAGTGGATACACCCCCCCACTGTTAAGCAGAGGGCCCACCGTTGAACCCAGCAGTTTCTCCTCAGGAAAAAGAGGTAACAGTGTCCCAACACAGAGCCCCACCCACTGCCATCTAGTCGGTTCTTCCTCATAGCGACCCTAGTCCTTTCCGAGCCTGGTCCTTCTGGCTCACCGGCCAGAGCAGTCCCACTTTGCCCCACAAGGTCGCTGGAGCTGGAACCGACTTGGTGGCAGTGGGTTGGTTGGGTAGATAAGGAGGCTTTTAAAAGCCTGTGGAAAAAAAATTCCCCCCCCCCCCCAACCGGCATGCCAGATTCAGGAAGCACTGGTGGTCCTTGCCCATCACGCAGGAGAGCTGGGTTCCATTCACCGACCCCTCTGCACCTCCCGAGCAGCCCTTACTAGACGCTGGAGGGGGCTTGCCTGTTACTATGGTGCTGAACAGGAGGAAGACTGAGTAGGTAGAAAGGCCTGAACATCGACTTCCAAACACCAGGCAGTGAACACTATGGGTGTTTGCCTGTGAATTAACCACTTATCACATGGGACCACCTCACATGCGTGTACTGTACCCTGAATAACTGAGAACACCCGACATTGGCTCCACGCCTCTCAACTAAGGGTCAGCAGTGGTTAGGGCTTCTCTCTGCCCCTTTCCCGCAGGAAACGTGTGCGAGGGCCCTATGCAGCAGCAGCAGCAGCAGCGCTACAAGAAATGCTCAATTCAGGTGACCAACATCAAGTTCCACACTGCGGCCCAGACAGTCCACAGCAAGATCATCTTCCTCCATGGTCGGAGCCTCCACACAGGTGGTTTCCCCACCCCACCCCACCCCCTAGGTTTTTCTGTCTTCTAGTCTCTCTCTCTCTCGTCTTTTTTGCTGGAAAGAAAGCTAATCCAGGTGTTCGAGCTGGCAATGAAAGACTGTTGGAGCTCACAAAGTCGCTAGCTCCTTTGCTGCTCCATCAGAAACGTACAGCTTTGTTTGTGTTGGGCTGGTTTTGTCCTGGGTGCTCTGCCAGTTGTCTAGGTTTCAACCCGGATTGCAAGCCCCATGCTCTGATCTCACAAGGGTTCGTGCCGGGATGCTATTAAAATAAGGGGGTGAGTAGTGCCACCTTTTGGTAGAAAAGTTGTATGCAAACTGAACTGGTCAGCTGCCTTGAACAGAGTAAGCAAGGGTCTTCGAAATCACCGCTACTCCAGGAGAGGAAGCAAGCACACTGGTTTTCTGTCTGAAGATGCACTTGTTCACAGCCAGGAGGCCACTCAGACCCTCCCGTCAAACAAGCCCTTCCCTGAGGGCACCCACTCCAGCTGCTGCTGCAGAGTTCAATGCAGAACAAGGGGAAATTAGGAGGCGTTTTGAAGAGCTCAGGAGAGATTTGGGAGGAGAAGAACTAGAACAACGATAGATCAAGCAGATCCACCTGGAGAACACGAATGGGAGTTGATGGGATTGGGCAACTCAGCTGTGGCCGCTGCTCATTGGGGGGGTGGGGGGGTAGTATAGATGGTATGTCAGTCAGGTGATGGCAGGGAAGCGCTAAACACAAGGAAGAGCCCAAACAAGCATCAGAATGTCAGGACACGGTGAGGTCCACAGATTTGCACCAATGCCCTTTTCCATCCCTAACACACACACACACACACACACACACACAGAGAGAGAGAGAGAACTGTTGCATATCGGAATCTCCTTTTCCATCCCTAACACACACACACACACACACACACACAGCTGTCACATATCGGAATCTCATTTTATCTGGCTTAAAGGGTTAGGTCTTCAGAAGAGATCTGCCCCCAGGAATTCTTGGAAGGTGCTGCTGGCTTTCGGGACATGTTGCAGGTGTGCCGTGTAACCCTGATGAAGAAGCTCTTGTTGTTACTGGTTGCCCCTGTGCCATGGGGATCGACACCCTGTGGGGCTGCTCTCAGAGACGGCGCTGTAGAGCATGGCTAATGACCGTTACAGGTTGAAGGTGCCCCTGCCTACCCAGGAGCATCAAGATGGGCCAAGATCTTCAAGCCTTTTCATCCTTGAAAGGAAGTGCTTTGGTCAGTGAGGGTGTACACCTGTGCCTGGATGCAGCAGGCATCCGGTTCAACCTTCTTCTGTTCTTACAAACGGCACGACGGCTGGCTGGCAGGAGACCTGCCTCAGGTGGGGCTGCTTTGGAACATTGGCGGCTGGGTCATGGTCTGAAAAAGCCCCAACCCCCTGCCATCAGTTCGATTCCAAGGCTGCGTGTCTTCACAGAGCAGATAGGCTCATCTTGCTCCTGTGGATCAACTAACTGGTGGGTTTGAACCCCTGACCTTGTGGTTAGTAGCCCGTATACCAAGCTCACAGGGCTCCTTTCATATTGGATAAGAGTCTTAATGGGTTTGATCTTCACATTCCAGCTATGTCTTGATGCCTTATGTATAGTGGCTTAGCCATCAACAGCCAATTTCAATGTCTATCCCAGTGGAAGATTTCATCCTCTTAGCTAATCCCCCTCACCGCTCTTTGCTGTTTCCCCCCAGGTCGATTCACTCGTCCCAACCCAATGGCCACACATTAGCCTCTCCCTGTAAAAGAACCCTGTAAACAGGAAGATGGCTCGGGAGTGGGTGGGGCACTTATTGTTGGTGCCGTCAAGAAGACAGCGACCCACGCACAGCAGAAGACCACTGGGCTGCACAGACACAGCGATGCCTAAGTCAAAGGAACCTGTCTGTTCAAGCTCATCTGGCAGTGAAGTCGACAAAAAGCTAATGAGGGAAAGCAGGTTGCTCCAGAAAAGCCTGTCAAGAAGCAAGAGACTGGGGAGACTTCCAGAGCCCCATCATCCTCCAAGCAGAGCGGCCGCTGAGATGGTACCAGGCTTCAGATTGGGAAAGAGCGGTATGTCAGTGTTCGGGCTTCCACGGGAAAGGCCTGTTGACATCAGAGAATGTTGGGTGGATCGAGACAGGGAAGGAAAACCAGGAAGAAAAGGAGCGGTGGTGTCAGCTGAAGGAACAGATGTCTGACATTGATGACGCAGTAAGAAAACTAAGATCCGAGCCATATCCAACCAGTACTCTTCTCGTCATCGTTTTAACCTGTCTTTTTACATCGTTTTAACCTGTCTTTTTACATGGGCTTTCCGTTCCTAACTGTTGTTTTCCAAGCTATTATATACTTGAATTGCAAAACAATATGTAAGATGATTTTTTTAGCGTGCATTATTTAAAATGTTCTGAGTTAAGCTAACTGTCAACTTTATGAAGGGGATTGCTTGTGCCCACCACCTAGTGTGAAATAAAGTCAAGTCATACAATCTTTAAAGAAGAACGAAAGGAACACGGGGTGGTCCTGCACCCTCCTCACAACTGTGCGTGTGTTTGCGCCCGCAGATGCAGCCACCATGTCCATCCAACTAGCTGAGGGTCACCCTCTTTCTCACTGCCCTTTGACTTGGCCACACCGGATGTCCTTCTCCAGGGACGGGTCTCTCCTGACAACATGGCCAAGGTACGTGTGACAAGTCTTGCCATCCCGGCCTCTAAGGAGCGTTCTGTGCCTGACAGTTTTATCTGTTCTTTGGCAGCACCTTCGTTCAAGTGCATTGATTCTTCTCTGGGCTTCCTTATTCAGTGTCCAACTTCCATAGAAGGCGACGGAAAATATGCCATGCCTTGAGTCGGACACACCTTCACTCTCAAAGGACCTTCTTGCTTTTCCGCACTCTAGCGAGGTCTTGTGCAGCAGACAATGCAATGTGTCACCTGACCTTGGCCTCTGCTTTTATGAGCACTGGTTGTGGATCCAACCGAGATGAAATCCTGGGCAACTCCAAACTTTTTCATGGTGGTTCCTACTGGTCCGGTTGTGAGGTCTCTGGTTTTCTTTACACTGGGCCCTGGTGGTTTTAAAAGCTCTACAGGTCATTGGGTTGTGCAGTCAGGAGCAAGAGCCCCACAGCCCCGTTTGTTCCCACAGTATGTCCCAGACCAGCAGCGTCAGTATCACCTATGAATTTATGAGAAATAATACATATTCATGGTGACGCCCAGACCTAATGAATCAGAAAATCTGGGTTTAGCCAGTGAACAAACCCTCCAGGCCATTCTCATGCCCCATTAGGTCTAAGGCCCTTCAACACCTCTGTGTTCAGACTTTAACTTAAGTTTCCCAGGTGGAAACTGGGGGGAAGCAACTGCCAGCCCTTGACCCTTCTACTTTGCTGTCTGCAGCTCTGAGAGGCAAATACCACTTCCTCAATGTCGCAGCAAATTGAGTCGCGGCAACTCCAGCTAGTTTTCCACTTGAGAGACTCACCAAAGGTGTTAATTATTGCTAATGCCCATCTCCACAGGGCCTCACATTCTAACCCAACACTTCCTGGAGGGGATCGTGAACTGCAGGATGATTATCAGGGCAACCAGGTGTTCCGGGGCACAAGTGGAAGCAAGTCATGGTTGGCAGAGTGGAAAGTGGGCAGGTAATGAAATAGTCTCAAACCATTTCCTTCACTGCAAGGAAACGCTCTATGGGGTTGGAGACTGAGCCAACAAATGGGAGGAAAATAAAAGTAACTTCTTGGCATTTTTGCTTGAGGTCCTTTAAACCCGGCTGTGATCCCTGGGTGGCGTAAGTAGCTGAAGCACTTAGCTGCTCATAGTGACCCCATGCGATGGAATAGGCCTGCCCCACAGATGGAATAGGAGTCCCCAAGCCCAAACCCACTGCCATTGAGTTGATTCCGACTCAGAGCCACCCTATGTAGGGTTTCCAGTTTCTGAGACGGTAAAGCCTTCCTCCCGAGAAGCAATCAGCAGGCTTAGCCCATCAGAGGAGCCCTGGAAGCTATGTGTTGGGCTGGTAATGGCATGGTCAATAGTTCCAAACCATCAGCTACTCCTTGGGTGAAAGAAGAGGCTTCTACTCCTTTATAATAAGTGACCAACTGGGAAATCCATAGGTCCACTCTGCCCTGTTTCACTGCGTCGCTATGAGTCAGTGCAGCTTGTTTTGGGTTTCTCGGCGTTAGCAGCTCAATACCTAACCCATGGTGCCACCAAAGCTCCTGCCCTTATGGTCCTCATCGTCACTGGGTCGAGTCTGACTCACAGAGACCCTGGAGCAAGAGGAGAGCTGTCCCTGTGGGTTTCCAAGGCTATTATCTTTCTGACAGCAGACAGCCTCGCCTTTCTCCTTTACAGCACCTGGTGAGTTTGAACTCTAGACCTTAGGGTGAGCTGCCCAACCCATGACCCACCAGGGCTTCCTCCCACATGGCTTAGCCACTGTCAAAACGGCTCATGGGGATGGACCTACGTCTGGGAATCTCTGAAGAAGGTGCCACTGTGTCCTCTTCCTGTGGCAGTTGCCTTTCCCAGTGTCTTGTTTTCACAAAGCACATGGCTTGGCCGTGGAATCTGTGCAGCAAACAGGAGACGGGGCATCTTTGTGTCGGATTAGAGTTTGATTCCTTTCTGGGCGGCACACTTATCAGAGAGTGCGCACTAAGCAGGCCCGGTCCCTGCAGAGGTCCCTCCGTCACAGCGGGAAGGTTCACACTCTTCAACCAACAGACCCTACCCGCTGGAAGGGCAGCGTGCACCCTAGGACGAGCTCGGGAGGCAGGCTGGGCTGGGAAAGGAGCTGGAGGGCCCGGGAGGAAGTGGGAGGAGGGCTGTTGCCTCGCGGCGGTTGTGATCATCAACATCGCGGACCAAGGAATTGTCGCACAGGAAACCAATTTGCTCACCCCACCCACATCCCAGATGCACACTCTCTGGAGGCATGACGTTGCATGCACAGAAATCTAAACCAGTCTTTAAACAATGCCAGTAAATAAATATGTTTCAAAACATTTTTGAATTTCAGATACTGAGACAGAAACGATTCCAGCAACTACACAGCCAACAGTGAAGCTACTGCTGGGGAGACCAAGGTAGGAGCAAGAGAACCTACTGGGCGACCGACGTCACCTCGGAACCCATGCTACCGTGTCGCCTCACCTGGAGGCAACCTGCCGGTATGTCATTAACCTGTGCGTGCGTGCGTGATTCCTCTCCGTGCTTCCTGTGCCGGCAGAGGGATCACAAGTGCAGTAGGCTTCAGGCCTTGCTGTGTCCCAGAATCCCTTGGGTTGCTTCTTTCAACTTTTTATTACTAATTAGGCGGGGGTTTACACTTCAGATCATCATTTGCATATTTTAAAAAGTTAAAACAATGTATCAAACCTCCAAATAGTTTGTCCGGTCCCCCTTCTTTTTTGCTCTTGTAGAATATGGTCCTTGCTGGCACCTTGGCTCAGCTTCGTCTAACATCCAACCCACTGCTCTGCTTCCCTCCCCGTCTACCATCCAACTCACTGCTCTGCTTCCCTCCCCTCCACCCCCTTTCCTGGTCACGGTCAAAGTCTGGGTCTTTGGGTATGAGAAGCATTTGTCGTGGTTTCTTTCTTTGGTAGTAATGGTCTCGTGCAAGATTTGTCCTTTGCACTCAGCAGAATGTCCTCCAAATCCATCACCATAAGATGTTGCTTCACAGTCGTGTCAGGATTGTGTAACGAGGCATTGTGTTCCATTGTGTGTGTGGTCCAAAGTATTTACCGATCCTCCCACTGGTGGGCCGTTAGGTTATTTCGGGTGACTTCTTAAAAATAGATTACTAGGCTCGATCCCTGGAGATGATGGAGCCCAAAATGTGTGTGTTTCACACGCGCCTGTGTCACGCACCTGTGTCACGCGCCTGTCCGGTTTGGATGGAGCCCTGTGGTTTAAGAAAGCACTGTTCAATGCTTTTATTTTGCCGACAGAAACTCACGCTAGAGGGAAGGTCCCTTTCAACGTCAGTGACAGGACCAAAGCCGTGTCCAAGGTCTCTAGCTGGGATTGATTGACATGTGGGCTTGAGTGTTATTCCTAGACACCATACCACCGATACAGTATCGTAATGATAGAGTGCCTGCTTTCCCAGGATGGTCCACAATCAAACATACCTCTTAGTCACACAATTAGAGTCCTCTCTCACACTGAGTCGGGCCTGGCTGTCTGACTGTGTCTCAGCCTAACAGATAAACCATCTAAGTGATGCTGGGAGACTTCAGAGAATAGGCCCTAAGAGGCCGGCAGCGCCCACATGCTTCATCTTAGAACACTGGGACCCAGACGTCATGCTGTGAGGAAGCTCAAGCAGCCTGTGGAGAGCTGCAGGTGGGGAAGAATCAAGACAAGCCAACATCCACAACTGATTTCCCGGGTCAATGGCCCAGCACCGATCTTTTAGCCTCACCACTGAGGCCACTTGGGATTTTGCAGCCATCCCACCATGGCAGCAACACCGTGTAAAATGCACTGTCCCATGAACTCACAGGGCCGTGCAATCCTCCATCGCCGATGAAACCCCTAGGCAACAACAGCCAGCTGAAACAATAGCTGAAATCCCCTTACCTGTTAGGCTGGAAAGAGATTTGGTCATAGCCTGTAAGTTCGCACAAATCCTTCTCGAGCTCTCGGAAGAGTTGCTGGTACCCTTGAGCTTGGTCCAAGGGCACAAAAGGGTGGATATTTGCAAATTCTTTCCATGTGATAGGCTGCAGGGCAAGGGAAAAAGGGGAGGTGAAGGGGTGAAAGAGAGAGATTCTAATTTATATGCATATACAGAGTATACTAAGATGTTATAATAATGAGAACAACTAGACTGATGATGATGATGATGGCAGCAATAACTATCATTAAAACCGCACAACTCATTTTGAATGTGATTTAGCCATGGGGGCAGGGGGAATGCTCTAAAATGGATGTGGTGATGATTGTACAATTCTCCTTGATATGATTGAACGATTGTAAATTATGTGCCAATAAAACTGTTAGGGGAGGCTATCATTAGGGTACTGGTGGCATACCAGGCTACACATTGAGTTGCTAACCCTAAAGTCGGTGGTTCAACCCCACCAGCTGCTGCAGGGGAGAGCGATAAGCCTGTCTACGCCTATAAAGATTTAAAGTAAAAAAAAAAAATATTTAAAGTCTCAGGACCCCAAAGGGCAGTGTACTCGGTCCCAGGGGGTCGCTGTGAGCTGGAAACAACTCCAAGGCAGAGGGGGGGAAAAAGTGATTTGTACTAGATGGTCCTAAGTGCTTTCAATACATTCATTCAGCTAAGTTTCACGAAAATCTTCTCAGGTAGGGCTAGTACCAGCTCTGTTTTTAGAATGGGACCCAGAGACCCAGAGAGAAGCCTAGGTGGAAATATAAGCTCGCCCTATCTTTTCAGACATGCGCACAATGTCTACAAGTAGGTTTATATTCATGAGGTCAGCTGAGTGGTCTCAGCTGGGGTTTCTTCAACCCCCACGCAGCACATCATGCAGAGCGGGGAAACAAGACTCAGGGGCCGCAGGCAGCCCCTTCTTCCCATTTGACAGAACAGGGGCCTGTGCCTGCTGTGGTTTGTCCATCACTGAAACCCTCAGAGCCACACCGCATGAGCTGGTGTGACCACGTGGGCTGGGACCTCAGAGAGATTCTTGCCAACCACAAGGACAGGTGACACAGGCTGTTGGCACCATGAGGACATTAGAGCCTTAAGTGTTTAACTCTGTTGCCCACGGGAGGTGGGGCAACTTCTAGGAGGAAAAAAGGCTCAGGCTTCTTAATCCTCCCTGAGTTTAGGAGTTAGAAATAGACACATCAGAAAGCTTCAAACAGGATGGCAGGTTGTTTTTTTTGGTCTTGTTTTGTTTTCAGAGGCTAGAAGACAGGAATGCTACATGCTGAATCATTTCACACTTTTAAAAAAATGATCATTTTAGCTACCTAGAAATGTGGATGATCAAAATTTGGGGAATAGTAGGCTCCCCCACCCCCTCCCCAAGATCATTACGTAATGGCAACGTAAAGGATTATTAAAATAGCTGCCACGTCGCAGTCCAGCAGCTGTGTCTAGTCTACTGCCTGCATACAACTATCTAGAACGCGGCCCCATGCAGCTCCCTCTTGGCCGAGGGACCTACTTACTGTGAGCTGAGAGGAACTGTTCAGCTTCATGGTGCAGGATCCCTTTAAGAAACACAAATATCACGTGACTGGTCCCCCAGGGGCCAGCCCTCAAGCCTCAGGACACAACCACCCCTACTCATCCCTCCCGCAACCCCTAGGCTGCAGCCTAGTCAGGGTGGGGACCAGGGTGCCAGAAGGAAGGTCATAACTACCAGGGGAATCATGCTGTGGACCAGGGATATGTCTTTGTTCTCCAGTTTCTTCATGTACCGCACGATGTTTGTTTCGGAGTGATAACTGTGAACGACAAACACAGGGTGGGTTAGGGCCTGTGAAATTACAGGAGTCCTCCTGGAGTCGAGACTCGCTACCTTCAAAACACAAGCACAACAGGTCAACACTGCTGGGGGGGCAGGAGGGGAACAGGGAACCTCCACGAGCCCCCGAGGGTGCCCTGACAAGAAGCTGCATGTGGGTATGAGATGGAGTTTGAGAAGGTGTATGTGGGGAGGGGGGGAGGGGAGAGATTGAGGTTGTGGACGTGAACTTGAAGCTGTATAAACCCAAACTCCCTCTTCTTGACAGTAAAAAGGGAGGAGAACCGGCAGCCGGCTAGGTCTTCTTTGCCCGTGTCAGGAATGAGATACTCACCGCGGCTTTATCTAAGGACTAAGGTACGCCAGACCCCAGCCATGCCTCTCGGGCTTGTGGAAGCTTGACAGCAAAAAGGAAGGCAGAAGGTGTGATGCCCTCAAATTGCAGCGTTGCCCCCAAATACGGACTCTACCCAGGGAGCCCTGGTGGCAGAGTGGTTATGGGTTCGGCTGCTAACCTCTAGGTTAGCAGTTTGAAACTATCGGCCAGCTCCGATGGAAAAAAAGGAGGCTCTCTACCCCTTAGAGAGGTACAGTCTCAGAAACTCATAGGGACAGTGAGTTAGGTTTTGTTTGTATAAACAAAGCAGGCACACATGAAAAATAGAACCTGAATGTCCCTGAAAGGTGAGGATGGTGAGACTTCACCTCACTCACTTGGGACATAGCATTAAAAACAAACAAAACTAATAAGGACACGACATTTTGTCAAGTAGAGGGTCCCTGAAAACAAGGGGAATCCTCCAAAAAATGAGTTCCCACATCAGGCACAACGTGGCCTCAAATGTCGCAATGACCATGGTGATGGCTTGGACAGGCCGGTGTGTCCTTCTCTTACACAGAGGATGCTGCCAGGAATCTGAGCCAAAACAGCAGCAACTAACAGGCCTGGTTCGGCCCAAGAACTCTCTCAACGTCCCAGGCCTCCCTCCTGGCTCCTGATCTCACGACCACAGCACAGAACTCCGGCTTCGCATAGGCCTCACTAACCTGTTGAACACCTGATGTGTGAGGAAGGCACTCGTTCTCTTGAACGCAGTCCCTGGGATCCCTCGAGGCTCCTCTCCCATGCTTTCAGCTACCAGCTCCTGCCCGTACAGACCGCAGAAAGTCAAGGGCGAGAACCATGGCTGGAGCATGTGGAGATATCCCTGCTTCAGAGCCACAGACCTAAGTCCACACTCTGACAGAACACAGGAAATCACCCCGCTAGGCATCCCCCATGGTGTGGTAGTGGGCCTCAGGAGTTAGCATCGTAGACATTCTCCAGGGTACCATACTTAAGTTGTATTGAGCTTGGTGACAAGAGATGAGGACAAAGTATGCAAAGTTTACTAGAGAGGAAATTAACTTTGGCGTTTCCTCTTGTTCGCTGGGGAAGGAAGCAAGTTCCAGTAGACTTTAGGGGTGTTCAAATGAGTGATCCGGAGATAACTCCCCTCAAGGAAGGATTCTCAGTTGACCTGGGTCTTTTATTTTGGAGAAGAGTCCCAATGAAATGCCAAGGCTGCTCCTCATTCTGCCCCAAGCTGGCAGTACAGTCATGCAGAGCCCTGGTGGGTGCTGCTCTATACATATCCATCAAACACATGGAACAAATGCTACATTACATTGAGTGCACAGTTCTAGAGGAACAGACCCTCTGCCTCGTCACACTCACGTCTACAAGAAGCAACGCCATCTTTGACACCACCTCAAACAAAAACCAAAGTGAAACCTCCTGCCATCGACCCCAGGCCAACGCGGAGCGACCCCATAGGTCAGAGTAGCTGGGCTCTGAAGCTTTCACTGAGGCAGACTGCCTGGGCTTTTCTATTCTGGAGTGGCTGGGGAGTTTGAACCTTCGACCTTTCAGTGTCAGTCCAATGCTTAACCCTACCTACAGCATCAGGGGACCTCCACCCCAAGAGGAATCCCATTTTGACTTTACTTACAGCCGATGACTCACAGCCAAAGATCCACAGCAAGTCATCCAGATCTTTCTCATTCACGGTCTCGTCCAGAGAAATGCCAAGCTACGGAAATGAAAACAAAAGGAGAACATCATTTTTCAGCTCTAAGACAACTGGGAAAACTGGACCAACTATCCATCCATCCCCAAATATTCAAGTTGACCTATAGAGAAAGCCGATTGGACCAGATCTAAACTTGGCGTGGTTTGGTTTTGCAAGCCAACGGCCATTGACTAGCCCAAGGAACCCCTGTGTGGTCTGGCTGTGTCCACCTTTCCCTTCCCTGCAATGGCTTTACGACAGCCTTTACTCAAGTGGTAATACAGGGATGCATAGGAGTTTTATGAGCAACATATGAGCCTTTGAGCCCTGAAGAGAATACAATGTCTTAAAAAATAGCCAGGGCTGAATTAGCCCTACAAGGCTGTCACAGTGTTCCAAATTGGAAATGAAAAACATTGACCAAAAAAAGACCGTATCGCAAATTCCAACATTGATATCTTTCCCAGTAGGGATTTTTAAAACCAGAGCAGCTTTGGAAGAGAAAGTCATGAACACTGTGAGAATTTGTAAAAACAGGGCAGTGGGGTGGGGGAGCGCGCGTTTGACTTACGGTGCCATCCTCAAAGAGCCGAAGATTGATCTGCCTCTGAGCAGCTCTATCCAAGACCTCCTTCACGGCGCAGCCACACTGGACCTTCAAGGTGTCGAAGAACAAGTCGTGCTGCAGCTGATGCCCCGCACGCTTGAGACCTAGACCGGAGATCACCACGGTGGCCAACAGTCACCGCTGGGTACGTTTCGACTCATGTCCCTCTAGAAGTAGTGTGCGTGCACCAGTGTGTGCTTGGGGAAAGAATCTAGGGTGTCGTGAACATCTTTGCACTTCTCCATTTAGGCCTTCTCTGGTTCTAATGAAGCAATCTTTATGCTTCTATTTCCTCCCTCTTCTACCATGATCCAGCGTACTTTAAAAGATGGTCAATGGCGGCTCCCATTTTTTTCTTTTAAACTGTTACTGGGAGCTAATCCAGATATATCATTTTTGCCTAACAGACTGGGCATCCTTCTTGGGTTGGAGGCTAGGGGGAATAAGGAAGAGTTCCTTATAGTAAACACACTAACCTTCACTCTCTCCCCCTCCCCCCTGCCCTGGGGTTCTGATGTGAAGATTTAGCTTTGCGCACAGCATTAGAGTTGCAGGGAGTTTCTCATTTTAGGTACTCAAGTGTATGTTTTCAAACGGACAGAGGACTCACCTTCAGACAAAATGAGCGTGGCATTGTGAACCCTCCTTGCAATGTGCTGCAGGCCCCGGGAACCATGGTAGATTGCAAACATGGCAGCCATATTCGCCAAAAGCGCCTATGGGGACACAGAGACATGATGGGTGTGCTAAATAGGAAAGCCAAGGCCAGAGGAGCATATGAGATTGCTTTCTTTCCCCACAAGCTGGAGGCCAATTTCAATTTATTTCTCCCCCAAGCTGCTTGGCTACGTGAGGGGGAGGACAGCAGTCGATATACCTTCGCGTCACCAGACCCGTTCTCCAAACGGCACCATTATGAAGGGGTCCAACCAGACCACCACCCATGAAGGGGCAAGAGGCCATGAACGTGAAGAGGCAATATTCAAAGTTGGAAGACCATCAAGCAATAACAGCCTCGGGAAAAGACAAGAAAGCCCAAGATACTCAAGGAGTTTTTCAAGGTTGGATGCAACAAGACACCAGCCAGTATACAAGAACCCAGAGAGGATGGCGAGACCGTGAAACCCAGAACTCTGGGTCTCCCACCTTCCCCACCTCGGACAGGGTGCCCTCTTACTACGGGTCCATTACCCCGTATATGTGGAAACTCTGTGAGTAGGTTCTGCTCTGGGCTCTGGATTTCACAGGTTGAACCGTACAATTCTCCTGAGGATGTAAGTGAAGCACCCTACACTGAATTCCTGGCTGCCGAGAGGCAAATGGGCCAAGGACTGCAGGGTTCCTGGGAATCAAACCAGAGGGAGCTGGCAGAGGATCTATGCGAAAGAAGAAAGTGGAACCGACTGGCTTATTCTCGGATGTCAGCAAGGTAGCAATCTGAGGGCTCAGACCAATCCTTAATGGGAAGAGTGTGTTCTAGTGTGACAGCAGGGGGAAGATGGCCTGGCTTCTCGCTGAGATAAGAGCTCTGGCCGCTGGTCAAGAGAAGCCCCGGGACGGCTTTTCAGAAGGCAGCCCCGGGGCTGGAACAAGGAGAGGAGCCGCTGTGATGGTACTGACAGCAACAACAAAAACCCAAACCCCTTCCCATGAAGCTTGACTTGTGGTGTGAGTATTGTTGCTTAATCCCTCACAATCCTCTGCCATCGTGTCAGTTTGGACTCGGGGACAGGCTTTCGAAGGCTGTCAACACGTTTCTCCTGTGGAGCCACTGGTAGTGTGGAATGGGAGGCCTTTCAGTTAGCAGCCAAACTTGGAACCACCTGCGTCACCAGGGATCCTTATGTTGGCACCCAACCCATGCCTCCCCACCCCCCATGGCCATCGGTCAAGCCCAGCTCATGGTGACCCCACAGGACCGAGCAGAGCTTCTCCTGCAATGCTTTAAAGCAGACTGCCTCATCGTGGCCCCTCGGAGCAGCTGGTGGGTTTGAAGTGCCCACATTGCAGTCTAAAGCCCAACGCCTAACCCACAGTGCCACCAGTGCTCCAGGAGCAGAAAAAAAGAACGTGGCAAAACTAACACATTGGTAAGGAGGCAGACATCAGAGGCTCCGCCCATTGCTATGGGGAAGGCAAAGCCTTGCCACTGCTGGGAAAACCAGTCTGCCTTCCTCAGAAAGCCCCACTACCATCTGACCCGGCAACCACTCTCCTACATACTACACATATGTAGTCCCCAGATGACGAATGGGTTCCGTTTACAAACCTGTCTTTAAGATGACTCTATATGTAAACTGGGACGGGTCCCCATGCCGCCTATTCAACATCAGTGAGTCAAATACTCATCCCCGTATGTAGTGTACCCTTTTTTTCCGCCATGAAAGCATTTTAAAAGCACTTCCAAACACACTCAAACATCTGTAACATGATGCAATGATAATGTGCTGTTGAGCCCTTGTGCGAATCCCGGGTTTTTAACATCCTACGATTTACAGGGGTTGGTTCATAGCTACGGTTGTATATAAGTCAGATGTTCGTAACTAACCCAGGGATGCCGAGATAGAGAGAAGAACCGGAAGTAGGGTGCAACCAGAACCATGTCCATCTGTGTTCGCTACGGCACTGGGCACCGTAGACAACACAAGAATCAGCCTCCGTGCACATCAACAGACGAATGAATAGGTCACCACGGGATCCCACTTACATGAACCATCAAGACTAGACAAATACCTAGAGACCAAAGCTTATTGGTGCTTTCCAGGGAGGGAGGAGCCCTGGTTGAGCTCTCAGCTGCTAACTGACTGAAAGGTGGCAGTTCAAACCCACCCACCTCTCCACAGGTGGAGGCTCTGGCAGTCTGCCTCCAGAGAGCACCGCATTGGGCACTGCGGGAGGCAGTTCTCGTCGGTCCTACAGGGCTGCCGTGAGTCAGAATCGACCAGACAGCACCTGGGTGTGGGGGTATGAGAAAAGGGGTGGTGGGAGAGGGTGCTCACTGAAGGAGGCCCAACATTCTGGTTGGGTGATGGATGACAGTTTGCTTCTGGACATGGTTTGTGGTGGCGGCTGTATGCCACGGTGAATGTAATTAATGCCACGGACTTGTTCATGTCAATATTAGTCGGGATGAGCTGCTAACACCAAAACAATCACGACTGCTGTGTCCGTCCTGACTCACAGCAAGCAACCCTACAGCGCTGCCCGTAGACGTCCACGGTTGTCTCTCTTAGTAGAAGCAGATCGCCTCAGTTGTCTAGCGCAGAGCAGCTGATGGGTTTGAACCACCATGTTTTGGTTCTTAGTCAAGCACTTTAACCACAGGGCCACCAGGACTCCTGACTATCAACTAACCCAGCAAGATGGTATCAACTATATTATGCTATATGCAATATATATGATAACAATCTTGCTGTTTTAGTATTACATATATTATGAGAGAATGAGTGAGTGGCTGAAGCAGCCACCTTCTTTGTGGGTTGTAAGGGCGCTCACTGGCCAGGGCAGGTGCGTGCGTGACTTACCTGGGCTGTGCAGATGTTGCTGGTGGCCTTGTCTCTCCGGATGTGCTGTTCCCTGGTTTGAAGAGCAAGGCGGTACACTTCTTTTCCAATGGCATCTCTGGATCAAGAAAGAAGCTTCGAGTGAGCACCAATCGTTATCACCTGGAATTGTCACAAATCAACCTGCCTCTCAAGTGAACTCAGCAAGCTGGCTCGGGAGCAGGGTCATAGGGAAGCCTTTTCCCAGCCTTCCTCGTCTAGATTGGCTGTGATTTCTATAGCGGGAGCTCACCAGATCTTCCTTATTCAGTACCCAACTTTCGTATGCATGAGGCCATCGATAACATCAGGGCCTGGGTCAGGCGCACCTTCATCCTCAAAGTAACACCCTTGCTTTTCAACGCTTCAAAGAGCTTCTGCAGCAGATTTACCCAATGCAATAAGTTGTTTGATAGCTGCATGTTAAGTTAAAATTTGGGGCCCTGGAGATTATATCACCCAGGGCCACATGATCATATTCCTAACCCAACCAACATGTAGAAACCTCAGAATCAATCTGTAGCTTTAAAAAAAAAATCTATAATGATGCATGTATCCCAATCATGACCCTTTCCTCACTTCTGTATTCCCTTTACTAGTGATGGATGAATGAGCCTGCCACCAATCATGTCCCTGTGTTGGTCTCCTTTGTTTTCTAGCACACATAGGGAACTCCAAGGTCATGAGTCAGCAGGCTCCACTGGCCTCTGGACTGTGTGCATTCCAATGATTTCCCTCATTTGGGATGACTGTCTTTGTTTTACCTTGGTCCTCTGTGAGGCTTAATAAAAGGGTCTTCGGGGGTGGGGAGGGGTGGGGCAAAAAAAACAACAAAAATAAAAAATAAATAAAAGGGTCTTCATAGAATATGTTTGAAGCTAGGGTCTTTCTTCCCCTAGCACAATTGGAAGGCACTCAAAATACAGTGTGACCACAACAGTGGGCTCCAATCCTTGTGAAGAGGGTACAGGACAAGGCAACATGTCCTTTTATTGGACCTGGGGCTGCCATGAATCTGAGCTGATTTGGCTAGCAATAAACACTGGCTCAGACTCTAAATTTATGTTATCCTGTCCCTTAATCAGCCCAACATGGCCCAGTTAAATTCAGAGTAAGACCAGTGAGTTTATGATCAGGAGGAGGAATAGACAGCATCCTCATCATGATGCAAAGGCAGAACCACGAGGTGCATTACCTTGTCACTCCTACCATTCTTCCAGGCATCATTCTCACCAAGTTGTCTCGGACAGCAAAGAAGGCTGCGTGGGGTCCCCCGTAGCCCAGGGGCACCCCAAACCTCTGTGAGTTTCCCAAGGCAATGTCTACCCCAAATTCTCCAGGAGGCCTCAAGATACACAGGGCTAGAAGGTCAGTAGCACAACAGGCCAGACTCTGAAACGTGAAATGAGAGAGAAGTGGTCAAGGTCGATACCTTGCCTGAGAGTGGGCATGTTGAAACAGTACCCCCAAAGGCAGACTGGTTTGCAGATGGCGGCCGTTTACAGTGGGAGCTCTAGGTCCATTTGGAGTCTTGACATAAATTCAATCTCCACTGAGCTCATTCTGACTGTAGTGTAGAAAGTTTTGCCCTCGGGTAGAGTGTGTTTGAAAGTAAGCTATGGCTCCCCTAACCAGCACAAGGAGGGGCAGTCTTGACTTGGGACTGTCTCAGCATGCCCTTAATGGAAATTGGGGAACAAAGAAGCCCTAGTGGTGCAGTGGCTCCGTGGCTTGAACCCACCGGCTGCCCCTCATGAGAAAGCAGAGGTATGTAGTTACTCCCATAAAGACATACAGCCTTGGGAACTCGCAAGGGCAGTGCTGCTCTGCCTTATAAAGCCCTTGTGAGTTGGGATTGACTTGATGGCAGTGAGTTTGTTTGGTGTGTGAGGGGGTGGGGGAGTGGGGGTGCCTGCATAGTTATACGGTAGAGATGGAGTTGCCCCCGACCAAGGTGGTCAGAGGGCCGCAGAACCAATTCTGTAAGCTTTTCAATTAATTTATTTTAATCATTTCATTGGGGGCTCTTACAGCTCTTACATCCTGTTAAGCTTTGAAAATCTGCAATCATCATGGTGGTCCCTTTCCCCTCCATGCTCCTGCCTGTAACAGGGTGGATTGATCGCCACCAGTCATGAGTTGGTGAGGATTTCCTGGCTTTCTTTGTTCTGCGAGGAACCAGCTGGCGGAGAAGCCATGCCTCATGCTGGTAGTCTGCCCTCACCTGGACAATCTGGCTTTGTCTGGTTTTCATTCAGTTTAAGACTTAATATGGGGTCTCTATAAAATACATTTGGCTCTGAGGGCCTTATTTCCCCTTAGAACACCCATGAGCTTCATCTACTCATTCAGCAGACATTTACTGCGTAGCTACCATGTGCCGGGAACCCACAAACAAAGCACATTACAGAAAGGACGGAGGAAGGAGAGACAGCGTTAGTGCGTCACAGTAACAATAGCCAGAATGTCAACAGAAGCAGCAGCAGGAAGGGAAGTTCCGTTACCCCGCTCTGGTGGGCCCGCTGCACGAGCTCGGTGAAGTCCTCCACCTTGCCCTCGCTGTCGGGGTACTGGAACAGGACACCGCTGATGTCCTTCCCACTGAAGTCCATCTCGTGAGGGAGCTTCAGCGCAATGAGGACTCCGGCGAATCTATAGACAGGAGACCCACGGGAAAGGGAACCATCTGGTTACTTTTCAGTGATGCTGCATTAATTTGTGTGCTACTCCTCGACCTCCCCACCTCCAACTACCGCACCCCAGACCTGGCTCCTCGGGGCAACAATGCTTCATACCAGGGTGTCTCCCAACAGCTCAGCCTGGCTTTCTTGCAGCTAGAATAAGGTGACCAGACATTCCGCTTTTGGCGGGACGGTCCCGATTTTTAACGATTTTTCCTGCATCCTGCGGCATTTTTTAAAAGTCCAGATTTTTGGAAAGAATGCATGACAAGCTAGGGTATACAGTTTCGGCTGCCATGTAGCTATTTCGTCAGGATATGAGTTTTATCAATGGTGTCCTGCTTTACTAATGTTAAAATCTGGTCACCTTAAGCTAGAAGCCCACTGTTTAACTCACAGAACCACCAGGCATTGGTTTTAGGTGAATGGAAATCTGACAATAAGACAAGGAGGAAGACCTTGCTTAGGTTTCTAAAATCATCTCATTCCAGCTATGCATCGAAAACCCCAAGGAAGGGATGGTGGTGTGAGGCAGGGGTGAGATGAACCAGCCTTTACAAAAGAGAAGGCAAATAAACACTCCTCCAATGGCAGGGATGCTGCCTGGGTTTTACTTGATGGAATCACTAACATACCACGGGGCTTTTCTCTGGTGCATGTGTAAGTACTAGATTTGCAGCAAACAGCCCCCTTACCCCGCCTCCCCCCCTCCCCCCAAATCATTAACAGTTGTAAGAGGGCTCCATTTTCTTTATTTTTCCAAACTTCCTGAGGCCCTGTTGAAATTGCTTTCAGACTTTTAATTACTGCTTCCGAAGAAGAAACAAAGGCCCACCGTGATGCCTTACTACGAAGCAATAGCAATCACATCCAGGTATTTCTCCCCTGTGTGTTTGGTTTTAAACAGAAATATCTTGTCTCACAGTGTTGGCATGTCTCTCAGGGAAGGTCCTTCCTTGTTGACAGCCTTGGGCATTCCTTAGCATGCTTTGGCTTCTAGAAAATTCCTCAAATGACTCTTCCCTCTGTGTGTCTATTCTTTGCCCTCAATTTGGACAAAAATTCTGCAACTGTAGGTCCCAGAAGGAAGCAGGAAAGTAGTGAGCTGAAAGTAAATTGCAACAACTCAAACTCAACCAGGTTCACCTCCCATCAGTGTGGATGTGACCGAGACAAACACATTTCCCCAGCGTTTAAAACCCAAATGGAATGAATTACTTGGCCCGAGTCTGGATGACAGCTATCGTCTGTGGGTGGCAACGAGGGTCTACAAAAAACGTTCTCCTCTTGTTGTGTCTGAAAGAGAAAGTGTAGTCAAGCCTGAGCATACGGGAACAGTGTCCCCCTCAGAACGCGGGGCAAAGATGGCCCTCGTGGGACAGTGTGAAATACACTGAGTCGTGAATGATGCGAATGGCATTCACCATCAGAACTCTGCTTACTCCGGTTCCTGGTAGAACCGCCCTTAGCAACAGCACCCCTAAAATGGTTGTAGATTTTAAAAGTAAATATTTGAAGAAGAAAAAGCAAGGTCGTGGTTAAGTGCAAATGAGAAGCACGCATTCTACTCTTCCAAGAAAAACAACCCACCACCCACCTGCCCGCTGGTCCTACTGTGTTCTCTTGCCTGCTGGGAGCCATGAGACCCGTGTTTCAAACACCATGGTGGAGACAATTTCAGCAGAGCTTCCAAACTAAAACAAACTAGGAGGAACGGTCTAGAGACCTTCTAAAACGAACCAGTGAAAACTCTGTGGAGCACAACAGAACACTGTCTGACATGCTTGCTTTGGGTATGGGGGTGTGGGCAGTGTTGACAGTGGCTGCAGGGGGATATCCTGCTGGTGCATTGGATTGACTAAGGTAGAATGTAAGCATCCCTTTCTATGCATTTGGAAACGAAAAGCTCTGTGGGGCTTGCTTTGCTGTGATATTCACTTTATTCTGGTGGTCTGGGACTGAATCAGCAATACCTTCTAATTCCGACTCATAGTGACCATGGACAGGGGCTATAGATCTTTAGGGGAACAAACTCATCTTTCTCCCACTGAACAACTGGTGGATTTGAACTGCTAACAGCCCAAAATGTAACCCACTATTCCACTACAGCTCCTTAGAAAACTCTTTGTGTGTGTGTTGGGGGTGGGGGGAACCTCCCTTTACCCTAATACAAACACAACCCACTGTCCACCACTGAGCTGATTTTAACTCAGAGGCTCTGCTCTATATCTCACTGCCATCAAGTGGCTGCCGACTCAGTGACCCTGCAGAGCAGGTAGAACTGACCCTGTGAGCTTCCCAAACTGTAACTGTTGATGGGAGGAGAAAGCCTTGTCTTTCTCCGCTGGCAAAATCAGAACCAAAAACTTCAAGGCTTTCAAGTCTGTTCCGACTCATAACCACCCGACAGGAGGGCAGCATAGAACTGCCCCTGGTGGGTTTCCAAGACCGTAACTCTTTACGGGAGGAGAAAGCCTCCTCTTTCTCCCGTGGAGCTGGAGCAGCTGGTGACCTCAAACTGCTGTCCTTGCGGTTAGCAGCCAACACCTAACCACCACAGCCCCGGGGTACCTAGGGTCTAGACAGAGGCTGTAAATCTTTCTCCAAAAAGCTGAGGGGACTGAAAATACAGGGAATCCAGGATGGATTGGTCCCTCTAGGACCAGTGGTGTGAGTGGCAAAACAGGGAGGGTAAAGGGAGAATGGGTAGGAAAGAGGGAACCGATTACATGGAACTGTAATCGGTGTGTGACCTCCTCCCTGGGGGACAGACAACCAAAAAGTGGATGAAGGGAGACGTCGGACAGGGCAAGATATGACAAAATACCCATTTATAAACTCTCAAGGGCTCATGAGGGAGGGGGGAGCGGGGAGGGAGGGGAAAAATGAGGACCTAATGTCGGGGGTTTTAAACGGAGAGAAAATGTTTTGAGAAACAACGTACAAATGCGCTTTACACAATTGATGTGTTTATGCATTGGGATAACAGTTGTATGAGCCCCTAATAAAATGTTAAAAAAAAAAAAAAAATAAAAAAAAAAAAAAAAAAGCTGAGGGGTTCGAATCATCCACCTGGGTAACTCAGTGCCTAATCCACATCAACACCAAGGCTCCTTTTTCTGATATTTGTTACAGCAGCCAACAAAATGCACAGGATCTCGTATAATGTGTGGGTGCGGGTGCGGGGGGGGTGTAAGAGATTACAGACAGACTTCACTGGGATTGCTGGGAGGGGAGGGCCCCCCCAGCCCGAGGCAACCCCCATCCCAAGCGGATCCCACCTGTGGCACAACTGCATGGCCTCAGCTGCCGCCGTCGCCTCATCCAGCAGGGACGCGTTGGCTGTGTCCATGCCCGTGATGTCGCACACCATGGTCTGGTAGTTGAGCAAACTCTCCAGCCTGCCCTGAGACACCTCCGGCTGGTACGGGGTGTACTGGGTGACCCTGTGGGGAAACCACAGGCCGGGTCCCAGCTGTGACTCTGTGCACAGCGAACTCACCAAGCCTCCGCCAACTCCCGCCTCTCTCGGGAGGCTCAGTGAGCACCTCAGAGGCTGGAGGCTTGTCAGGAAGCTCAGAGGTAAGTCTGTGTTCTTTCAGGGCTGCTGAATCCAGGTTGACTCATAGAAACTCAGTGGGTAACAATCAAACTTAGCTTAGTCTTCCACGGGCCTCACACTAGGAGGCGTCCATTGTTGGGACCACAGAACAGATCCGAGGGTCTTTGATTTCCCTGGCCCTCTATTTTACCAAGCGTGACATCCTTTCCCAGGGACTGCCCCCTCCTGAGCACAGGTCCACAGTACATGAGACAAACCCTCGCCGTCCTTATTTCGTATTTCTAAACATCCAAGCATTCTGACTGTGACTTCCTCCGTGACGGATTAGTTCGTGGGAAAAACATCATGGGATGGAGCGTACTTACTTTGTATCCCTCTACCCTGGGCAGCACAAAGGTCAAGAGCTCAAGGCTGAAAGGTTTAGGGTTGGAATCCACCCAGAGGAGACTTAGAAGGAGGGTAGTGCTTCCCAAAGGTCATGATCTTGAAGTCCCCAGGGGAACAATTCTCCTCTATAGGAGTGGGAATCAACTCAAAGGCCACCAAGGCTTCACCTTGCATTTCCATTTACAAGTCCTCTTGTGTTATTTGGGGGGCGGGGCATCGAGTCCATTTGATAGAGAGCTGCCCTGTAGGGTTTATTTTAGCAACAGAAAATTGGTTTTAGCCCCCCCCCCCCCCCAAATACAGAAGTTTGCATGTTTTGCAAATATTGCTTCAGGGCAACATTTCTATAGACCTCGCCTTCGGGTCTATCGGTGCATAAACATAGGTCTGTATCTACCATGCACCCATGGCTCATCAAAGACCCACCTTGCATACACTCAACACTCAAAATGATTGGTCAAACCAGAACTGCCTATACCAAGGCAATTTTTGTAGGTGGATAGTTTTTCTTAAAAGGCAAACCTTGGGTAGTAGAGCACGTTTCTAAATGGTAACCGTAATGTTTGCAAATAAGTTTCCAGTCTCCAACTTGGGCTTAATTCAACTTGACCTAGGAATTGGGGATAAAGCCCTTCAACGTGGCTTTAAATTAGGGAAGTACAGAGGTCAGAACTTCTAGGGGCATCCTCCCTGCTTCCCTGAGGACAAAACTCGCAATGGATAAATGTCCCCTGCCCCTTATAGAACTTTTGCCCTTAAGAACTTATTGCAAACCAGGCGGGGGTTCACATATCAGCTCTCCAGTTTTGCAGGCAACAACTTAAATAACCTATCAAACCTCCAAGCCACTCCCTGTTCTGTTTGTATTTTCCCCTCTTCCTCTTATAAGATATTACCTTGCCCTTCACCTAAATTCACACCTGCTGACTCTACCTAGGCTTCCTGTTCCTTCTTTGCCCTTCCCACCCCTGGGAAGCCTCAAACTGTTTCTTTTGGTATGAAAACCTCTTCTTGTTAAGAGTGGTCTCAGAGTATTTGTCCTTTGGTGATTGATTAACTTCACTCAGTATAATGACCTCCAGGACCACCCGTTTCACAGTCTCCATTATTCCTTAATGACACGTGTACTTAAGCATTGGTATATGTCCCCAAATTTATCCATTCTTCCACCGATGGGCACTCAGGTCATTTCCATCATCTTGCTATTGGGAATCGTGCTGTGATGGTGTAGATGTGTTATTAGAAGCTGGCTCTGAGGGTCCACTAGAGCTCCTCTTTGATTTAATACACAGAAATCTCACTACCTTGTCTCTTTCTTACCATCCAATGTTCACACTCAAGTTCAGAACAGAAAAGCACCCAAGAATCGAACAACCTAATGCTCAAAACCTTTGGAATTTTTAAGGTTTTTAAAAAATATATTTAATCTTTGCTTGATACTAACCAAGAGAAGTTCTATGTGTTACAAGAAATTAACAAAAGTCTACTGGAAGATTCTCATTATCCGATTACTACAGGTGTATGGATGTTCGGCTTGGTGGGTTACTCACTGGGCTGCTGACCACAAGGTCAGCAGTTAGACCTTAACAGCCACTCTGTGGGAAAAACATGAGCCTTATGGTCCCCATAAAGACTTACAGTCTCCGAAACCCATGGGGCAGTCCTACTCTGTTGTGTGGGGTGGCTATGAGCCGTAACTGACTCAGTGGCAGTGAGTATGGATTTGATCTGGATGTCCATCCACTGCTATCAAATTCAAATACAAAGAGGCATTGACTTGAATTGGGCAAGAATGGGGCTTTGAGAAGGAGCCGATGTAGTCCTCTTCATTGACTTATCCCCCAGGTATTTACTAAGGTGCCAAGACCTTGTGCAGGTTCGTGTGGCACACAGGAAGATGGATGTCATCCCTCCTCTCCAGGAGAGGGGACTGTCGGAGTCCATTCTTGCTCATATCCACCATGTGACACGGTAGAACTACCCCAGAAGTTCCCCGGGCTTTCTGGGCAAGCTTGCAACGTCTTTCTCCCACTGACTCTGGTGGGTTTGAACCAACAACCTTGGTTAGCAGCTGAGCACTTCTCTACTGCCGGGCTGCCTTCTAGGGAGGAAATGAGATGATAAATCTCTAAAGCCATTTTAGAGAATTACATGTTTTAAGGGAAATGGAAGAAGGTGACAGGGTCTCGGGGGGCTGAGGGCTGATGACAGAACTGCCACCTTCTCATCTAACACCCCCTTCAATCCTGACTTCCAACAAAGGAGCTCAGGTCTGTGTACCCGTGTGTGGCTCCATCCTGTCCTCTGTCGGTGGTGCCTGTATTGCAAGCCAGCTGTAAGTTGGTTCGGTTTTGTTTATCATGCCCCTTTCTTTTCTCTCCTGCCTCAGGTTCAGGATAACCTTTCAGGCTGTTCCCGTGCAGCTTGTTGTGGGAAGCCTCTGGAATCAAGTGTACATTCCGTGCCTTCTTAACTCTGGGGGGTGGAGTGAGGAGCCAGCCTGACCCCAAGCAGTGCAAATGTTAAAAGAATGTAAAATAATTTCCTGTAACGTTTACTGGAGTAACAACTGTGTGAATGTGTGTGTGTGTGTCTGTCTGTGTTTGCACAGGCGCAGCTGAGTGATCTTGGACTTCCATCAATTCCTTGGACTGGCTGGCTTAGCAGCTGTGAATCAGTTGGCCAGATTGTCAGTGGCTGGTGAACTGGAATGATCGAGCATACAATGCCTGGTGCAGGCGTGCAGCAAGGGATCGGAGCTGAGACCGGGCTATCCAAAAGGGGAGACAAAGGGCTGCGAGACAGGGCTGATCTCAGGTCAGACAGAACTTTCCCACACAGTTTGTACCATGCAGACAGGCCCAGCACCACCCCTGCTCACAGGACCTGTCCAACACAAAGCCTGCCCTTCACCCAGAATCATTGCTTGATCTGTACACATGCACACAAGCCAGGCCCTCTGAAAAGTAGGAAGAAAATTCGGTATCCTTATAATGATGACATAGAACATATGACAGGGAGAAGAGAGAGACCAAAGATTTCATTACAGCACTAAATATAATACTGAAAAGTGACAACCCCCCTCCCGCAGAGGGACAACCATAAACGTGGGTGAAGGGAGACAGCAGTCAGAGGAAGATATGAAAATAATAATTTATAATTTACCAAGGGGTCATGAGAGTTGGGGTTGGGGTTGGGGTTGAAGAGAGGACCTGATACCAAGGGCTCAAATAGAAAGTAAATGTTTAGAAAATGATAACGGCAAAATATGCTCAATACAATTGATGTCTGGATTGTTATGAGCTGTAAGAGCTCCCAATAAATGATTTTTTTTTAAGTGAGTATCTGGTGGAACTGATTAAGTGACCACTAATAGGAGAAATGATCTAAGAACTAGACAACACAGATCACATATTAGGTATTCATTAAAAATGATGTTTAAAGAAATTAGTTCCTGGCCTGGAAAATACCCATGATATTATTCATTTTAAAAATAGGATGTCAGCTGCTTACATGCAGCCCCAATGCCGCAGGGGATTTGGTTCCCTGGTTGGCAGCTTCATGAGACATTGCTGTTCATCAGCCTAATAAGGTGCTTGGTGCTTCTGTTCTACTTCCTAGTTGGCTGCAGGGTGCCTGGGTCTCCCAAGCTTGCAAGTGACCGTCCAAGGCACTAGAACTGGTCTCTCTTGACCGGGAGCAACACAGGAAGGAGACTCGAGAACAGAGGAGGGGTATGCGCTGGGTGGCTTGTCGCTTCCATAAACAGTTCCCTCCTTTGTCACCAGACAAGGACTGGACGGTGCTAACATCACTGAACATTGTGATCAGGGATTCTACAGAAGACTTCTGACCTAAAGGGGCTGGGGAGTGGGGTGGGGGCGCGGAATCAGAACAGAATCAAAAATCCTCATAGACTTGGAACTTTCTGGAGCCATAGAAGGTGGATGAACCCCTGAAAGTACAAGGAAGCTTCAAAGAGTTTGTGGGAACAGTTGTGGAATTAAAAAATTAATAGAATTTTTCCACACATTTTTCTAAAGTCCTCTCCTTAAACCAAGAATACTTCCTAACATCACTTAAAAGCTGGACAACAGCTAGCTTAACCAGTGGAACGGTCTGCCGTGAGCAGTGTTAGTTAGGGATTGTGTCAAGGAGACGCTCCTGCTAGGGGTGAAGTCAGACCTGTCGCCTCCTTGAGGTCCGAAGTCTTTCTGCTGAGAAAGTGTTCCAGGGAGGAAGCCACAGCCGTGCACAACAGACCGCGCTTCTGGCATCCTCGCTGGCATCAGAGCCCTCTGGCTTTGGAAATCACACTGTGGGGAGTCAGGTACAGATGCTTTGGTACAGGGCAACCACAAGAAGCTGTTGACCATGAGCAAGCAAGCCAGTGAGGTTCATTAGGTCTCAAGCCAGTCTCAGGATGTCTCTGTTGACTATCGAGATAGCAGGGCCAGGCTTTTAATCACTAGCCATCTGACAGAACACGCTCGGCATGATCTATCCACAGCCAGCCAGCCTGCGTGTGAGCAGTGTAGTGAGTTATGAAAATTGCCTAGAAACCGCACTCAGTCAAATACACTCGGCTAACTGCATTTTGTAAGGGGGATGTTCCCCACTACTCTAAGTAAAATAACTTGAGTTACACTGTGTCTGTTCCAGAGAGCATGAGCATTTATTTCTTCCAAGATCATCAGGATCTATCATTTGGCTGCGACTCTTCTGGAATTGGGAGGAGGTGGGGGTAGGAGCTTAGCAGTAGAATTCTCATGGAATTCTCTCAACTTCATCCTGATGCCCCAAACCAAACAGGGAAAATGCTGCCGCTGGGACACTGGAGCCTGATGTCGTCAACAGACAAACCTCTGGCACCGAGGAGGACCTCATCACTCGATGTCTTGGGCTTGATGTAAATTTTCTTTTGAGAGCCCAACTGTTTGAATTCTCTCCAGCTATGTTTTCCATTTATTTTCATCTCACGTTGCCGGAAACGTGTTGGTTCCGTTTCTATGGAAACCATTCCAAGAGTGATAATGTGACGTCTGCCCACCCAACATGTGCAGATCCCTCTCTATCAGCACACCCACCCACACGGCCGGTTGGGAGGACTCTCCATGGCAGAATGGAAAGGGACATTGAAAATGCAGCCCCTCACAGGGACTGAGAAGCAGAGAGCAGCCTCCCCTGGCTCTCCCTCTGCTCCCAGAGTGAATGAGCGCACTTGCTCACAGGCAGGAGGCAATATGGAGAGCGCTGTGTATCCCACCAAGAGCCAGGCGGCCGGCCAGGATTCAGGCGGCTGGGCTGTGGCGGCCCATTCATGGGCGTTTGAAGCTCATTTTTCAGGGGGAGGAGAAACCAGTCCTTTGCTTTTGAAATCCAACTTGGAGTTTAGCGTTCCGATTCTGAGCAACACCACAGTGGGAGAGCAGCCACGGTCCACACTCAGGAAGCAGAAATCACTCATGATTGGACAATTACGCTCACCTCTTCTTTTGCTAACTAACTTTACAAAAAAGTTAAGCCACCACATGGGGCTTTGAAAACGTTCCACCGTCTAGAAGGCACTGTCGATCTTGAGAGCATTCTGTTGTTGGGTCACCGAAGGACAGACACATAGTGTACCATACCACTTACACGAAAAACCACTCTGGGGTGCTGCTAAGCCACCCAGCAACTCCTCAGGAGAAGGGGCTGGCAATCTGCTTGAGCAAAGACTGCAGTTTAGAGAGCACGGACAGCCCTGCTCTGCCAGGTCTGGTCCCCTGGAGTAGAAAATCAACTTCATGGCTCCCAGCAACCCCCACTGACACAGAACAGACAAAGACAGCGCGACCCAAATGTACTAGTGTTTCCCAGGAATGTGGAGGCGGGGGCAGTCACTGCTTAGGGAACCCACACGTCTGTTAGAGGGGTGCTGGGTGCCCAACAGACGGACAGAATGTCACTGGACCGTGCGTGTCAAACATGCTGGATGGCAATGTGCTCTCACCGACATGTTCATTATCATGATACAACAAATAAGCAGAGCATAGTGAAACTAAAAGTTCTGTACAAGGATGAAAATGCAACTGTGACCATTTACTTGCTATGGCTCTTCTGCCAGTCTCCCTAATTCCCACCCCATGACTGGGTTGTGTGGAATGCTCACCTGGGGAGTGGCCAGTTTTCCTGTCCCACTGAGCTTTAAATGAACCATCTCAAAAGCAGAAACGGAGGGTCTCACTACCACAAGGAAGAAAGTTCCACCGTGGAGCAAGGACCTAGAGATTCCCTGCACACTGAATCTCCTTTATCCAGGAGACAGAACTGTGGCACTGGAGGAGTGGCAGAGGGAAGGCAGCAGCAGTACCAAAAACCAAAACTCAAGATGGCACGGTGAGCTTCTCAGCCATGGAGCGGATAAAATGGTGTCTTGGGGCAGGAAGCTCCCCTGTGGAGTGGGGCGCCTCCAGGCACTTAATCGGAGGAGCTAGGTTTGCTGACCAGTTGAGCTGGTGCTGAGTGCTTTCTGGCTGAGGCTTATGGTGGAGTGCCCTTGGAGTTTTTATTGACAGGGGAAAAGGTCCTCATGTTTGAGTGGCATACCTATAGACAGGTCGTTGTCCTGACCGAAGAACTATATCCTGAACATCCCTGATCCTGACTTTTAACCTGTTTACTACCCTAATAAACCCCATAATCATGAGTATGGTTGGTGATTTGTGTGGCCATTGACATGAATTGTTGAACCCACCAGAGAAACAAGTGGGCACTGTAGGTGGGATGATTGGTGTCAACATTGGTAAAGACTGGACAGTGGACGCGTGTCTGACCTCCAAGTCCCATGAATTGACCTTGGACCAATGTTGACTTTGATTCTACATCACCCTTGTAAAGCCAAAGGAAATCAGATGTGGCCGCCACATCACTCTTAGAAGACCGGGAGACCTGGTTCTTTAATGGCACTAACAACATTTAAGATCAGGTTCTCACCAACCATGACTGTACCTGCGCTATGGAAAAACAAAGGCAATGCTGGGCACGTTTCTAAGGCTCACTGCTTTGGGCACTGTGAAAATCTCATGCAGGAAAAGTAGTCGTTGGTTGGGGCACACTGATCTCCTTTAACTTCTCAAGGGAAAATGGGAATCAAGACCAACAGCCTATTCCTATGAGGTGGAAGTCAGACATGATTCTTCTCTACAACTTTTTAAAAAACGAATCCTGACAGCCACTGGGTTTGTTAATTCATTGCATTGCCTGCCCAGAACTCACACACCATCCTCACAGTTATGAGGTACAATACAGAAGTAGCTGGTTACAGATCAGGATCAGGCAATGCAGGGTACAGTTCTTCAGTCAGGACAGCTTCTTCTCAGCCATGCCCACAGGCAGGCCTCTCCTTGGTCTTCAGCCTTTTGACTGTTCACCCCTTGGTCTCTTGAGCCAACTTTGTCTCTAGCCTTCTCAGACACGTGCTACAAAGCTCGTATAGAAATTGTAAATTAGGGTGGCTCTACATAAATTAGGGTAGGCTCTAAATCTAATCACGTCTGGCTTCTAAAAGGTGAAAAAGAGGTGAGGAGACACACAGGGGCAGAAGATGAAGCCTGATGTCTTCACAAGGACTGCTGGCAGCTGAAGGAGCCCTGGAGGTGCAGGAGGTGAGTTCTTCAGCTCCCAACCAAAGAGATATTGTTTGGGGCCCAGCAGCCTCTCTGCTCGAGAACAGTGAATGTGGCGGTCTGCTTCCATAAAATCCCACTACCTGGGCAATCCTAGAGGGTTGCTATGTCAGGATAGATTCCAGGCAACAGGACGAGAAGTGAAAATAAACAGGGAAAGGCCCTCCCCCCAAGAGCCACACCTGAACTTGGACTTTCAGCCTTCCATTCTGTGAGCAAATGAAATTCAGTCCTTTAAAGCCAAGAAACAAAAGAATATCTTACCATCCCGGGTTCTCCAGTAGGTTCCGCACAATTGCCTGTGGCACGGAGCAGTTGTAATAGCCCATGCCGATGTATGAGCGCCAGATCTGGTTTTTGCTGGAAATGGCATGCAGAGTTGCCAGGATTTCATTCTCACCTGAGAGTGGGAAGGAGAAGTTACAGAGGGAAACCATCTCAGTACAGTGCTCAGACCCTCCGCTTCATCTGACTATTTCTGTGAGGAGAACAACCAGACAGAACATACGGATCCAACCAACACTAATAATGCATACAGAACTCCGGAGTCCAGAAATACACTAGTTTTCCTCAAAGCTGGTTCCATGTAATTTTTCTGACTTTTTTCCCCCACCCTTTGTTTGCCAGAGTTGGCCAATCTTTGCTATTTCTTTCCCAGGGGTTCCATTCTAATTCTAAGTAAATCCCCCTCCCTTTTTTTGATAATGCAATTTATTTATTGAATTTAATTTATTCTTTTAATAGTTTTATTAGGGGCTCATACAACTCATCGCAACCCATACATACATCAATTGTGTAAAGCATATTTGCACATTCATTGCCCTCATCATTCTCAAAACATTTGCTCTCCAC